ACCTGCAAAAACTTCTGACTTACTTGCTCAAGAGAAGTCCAGTACGTAAGGAAAAGTGTCAAAAAACCCACAAAAAACACAAGCGAGAGGAAGGTGACTATTTAAAAGAGGAAAATATTGTTGTAAACTTTGTATTCAATGAAGAAATAAATATTGCAAAAAGATCAGACTATCTCTTGACACTCCCATTAGGTACATTTATTGGATAATGAAAAAGTTACTAAAGGAAAAAGATTTATTCTTCCTGCCCTGTAAAGCAAGACTCAGACAAACTTTAGAAAACACATTGCCTGGAAAAATCTGTGGCACGTTGCATGACCCAGCAGAAACACACTTACCATACAGGTAAGGATATCACCTAAGTATAACGTGAAATACAGCAATCAAGAAATCCTTTCTGTAAGAGCCTCAACTAAACCACAACCTGTGTAAAATAAGTGAATGGTGCACGAAACACTGACACATTCATTGCAGCAACATGGTTTATGAGAATCCTAAATCTTACAATAACTTGCAAAATCGTTTTTACAATTGCTTATTGGCACAATAAACAAGTGTTTAGCAAATAAATTTGCAAAGCAGCCTTTAAAAGGGCAACAAGGAGGTCAGGGCTCTTCTTTATCTTTTTTGTTGTTATTTTTAACTGCTTCCTTAAAATAGAAAGCCACAGGAAGGTTGGATGAACTTACTGAAAGAGTTCCATCACAGGAATAAAAGCAGATGAGATTTTGTATATTATGGGCAATATTCTTAGACTAGTTAGGCAGCAAAACTGATTTCCTCCTCTAAGGCCGATAACTAAAACGAGTAAGGAACTAACAAACAGAAATCAGAAGCAAAAAAAAGAAAAACTAAGCTTCAAATGAGAAAAAAAGTAATGTTCTTTGGGATCAAGGAAAACAAAGTGGTGGCAGTAGAACCCAGAGCTATAATCCACTCACATAAAAATAGCGAAAATCAGACAGAATATGAAAATACTAGAGTTCAAGAGGCCACAGAGAACAGTAGCATCACAAGGGCAACACATTGTTTAATCACTGTGAAATTCCAGATGACAGCACTCAAGGTCAGAGAGGGAAGGAGGCATCAGTGCCTGAAAAAGAAAATGTGAAGAGCACAGGAAAAAAAAAAAAGTCATACTCTTTTAGCAAGCAGCAACGAAAGCTTGAGTGAAAAAGGAAAACCAAAACCAAAATATTCCAGGGTTTGCTGGAACAAAATTGTAATTTGATTCTAAATTATGTATTTTAATTATTAATATTATTCAGTAGACACTATTGCAGCTTATAACTGTGCTTATCCTGACAATTTCTACTGACATCTGCCATGATGTTTTATCAACTAAGACCGCAGTATCTGCAACAGTTACAGAACGCTTCACCTCAAAATACACAAATACTTCTCCAGACAGAATACTGAACTTTACTAAGCAGATACTGCTGTTCAGTTAGCAATAAAAGATAGCTCTGCGTACCACACAAAATCAGTTTTGTCGTAGGAACACAGATTCAACCTCTTACAGGGTATTACAGACAGTCTTCCAGAAATTAAAACTCCAATTAAGAGCTTTGAAAAACTCAAATACGGAGAAAAGCATCAAGTTTAATGTAACAACATTGACTTCTGGATGAACTAATAAAAACAATATGGCTGTCTCAGATTTTAATTGACAGTCTAATAAGAGCAGGCTCAAGTTTTCTAACCATTCTCGCCATGAAAACCAAAAAAAAAAAATTCTTTCCTTTAGAGAAGAAAACAAGGTAAAGGTGTCTCCCTGAAAGCATCATTTGAAAATTTCTGAAGCGTGATGGAAGATAATTAGTATGACAAACTAATTTATCTTGAACACTGGCTTAATATTTTCTTTAGTATAAAATTGTGGGTATCTCCAAGGTCCGTGGCTGGAGCTGAGTGAGTGTTCAGCGTAACATTCAAGCAGCTCTGAATACTTGCAAGAGTAAGGTGAAGGTAAGCCAATCTTAACTCACAAGACACTTGTTGTTACCGAAGCTAACAAAGCAATTATTTTACACTACAGGTAGTCAGCCACTGTCTTGCCTGCAAGTACACTTTCATCTTTTTCAAGAAACTGTGAATTTTCTGGTCTTTCGCAAAACAGGACTGTAACTATGCAGTTATACTTCCCTAAAGCTGCATACCAACAGTTTTCAACACACTAGGATTCATGCTGGGGTGTTTGTGCAGTGGCAGCGGTTTATGATTGATGATATGCAAAGACCTAATCTGTTGCAAAGAGGATGTAACACAAACCACAAAGGAACTAGACACTTCAGCCTGTGTTTAGTGCCACATACCGAGGCCCATACACTGGAGATCCTGAACATTTTCAGCCAATCTTTTTATTCTGGCAGATTTCACAACTTTCCTTTGCAGAAATATTCTGTCCTTGAAAGATAACAGATCTAGCAACAGCTACAACAAAGTATCTAAAAATCTCCGGTTGCACACTATGGCTGTCTTCCCCTGCCATCATTACAGATCTAAACACAAAATTATTAAAGCTTTCTTGAATGTCCTCACATCACTATTTATTCCACATGCTGTGAGACTGAATGATTCACAGCATTTTCAAACGTTTAACACTGAAACGCGGAGGATTATTATTACTTGAATTCACTATTATTAGATACTTCTGAAAAAGATACATTTGTTTACATCACTCTCAGTTGGTCTTATTAAAATATAAAACGTGGTTAAAATGTGTGGTTTGGGTTTTATGAAGGTGGAGAGAGCAGTAGCATTACTTTTTTTTGTTGTTTAATTGCTTATGTGATACTAAAAATATAAGAGTTCATATTTCTAGGTATTTTAACAGGACTACAGTCATTTAGCATATTAATATAGTCTGCATGCCTATGCACTTGCATATGGGCATTTTAATCTATTAATTTTCGTTTATGAATTAGGAACACTCCTAGCCTCTACCTGAAATAAGAAAAGACTTAAAGCTCTCAGAATGCACAAATAGGGCCCTATATGGCGATAAATAAGACAGCCACATAGAAAATATGATACCATTTTCTAAAGCATGCCATCCAATAAAGCTTCTTTTGACTGCATCTTGATCATAGTCATCAAACAAGACTCAAGTGGAATTTACTACGCATTGCAGAACACACCAAGACTCAACAAGTTTAGTCTGCTACACAGTATAACAATTTTAAATAAATATTCTACCTCATAGGGTAGTTGGCTTCATATAATACAACCACTACTTAGTAAAAATTCTGAATAAATGCAGAGCCACATCCTTTTTCTTAAAATACTTGCTAGCTAGGAATTAATAGTCCATTTTTATCTTGTGAGAAAGAACAACTAGTACTCTTGAGGCATAATCTAATATATTTAGAATAGACAAAATAGTCATAGTAGGCTGATACATGAACCTGGCTCCTCTCTCGAACGCATAAGCAAACTTCCAGATCAACTTCTGGTAAAGAAAACTTCCCTTATAGGTGCCAAATGGAAGCTTAAAAGAAATATACAAAAGTTTAATTTTGTTGATTTCTGTTCATAAAGGATAAGGGCTTCCAGTGCATGACATAATGACAAAAAAAAAATTATTGCATAAGGAATGCAACTACATTCTTAATATTTAAAATGTCTTGGAGAGCTACAGCATGTGTATGATGCAGTCCAAATGGATACTACCAAAGCAGTGTTTTAAATGCTTACCATTTCTGTTCACATCAAGTACTTGCTTCTCCAGATAGCATATTTTCATAGACTCACAGGATAGCTAAGGCTGGACAGCACCTCTGGAGACTGCCTAGTCCAGTCCTTCAGTTCACAGCAGGGTAAACAGAGGAGATTGCTAACAGTCATGTCCAGTTGGTTTTTGAGTATCTCAGGGATGGAGATATACAAACTACACAAGCTCCAAGCACAACCTTTTCCACTCTTTGACCATCCTTGCAAAATAGTTTTTTTATAGCATTTGAATGGAATTTTCTGTATTTCAATTTGTAACCATTTCCCTTTAGAGACTGCCACTGAGAAGAGCCAGACTCCTTTCCCCCATGAGGTATTTATATATATTAGTAAGACTTGCCCTGAGCCTTTTCTTCTTGAGAAGCCTCATCTATCTTGGCCTCCCCTTGCACAACAGATGCTCCAGTTGCCCTAGTCATCTTTGTGGTCTTTTGCTGTACTCCTTCCAATATGTCCATGCTTTTCCGGTAACAGACAGACCAGACCTGGACATAGTACTCCAGCTGTGGCTTTACCAGAGCTGCCCTAAATCTGTAATTGCCAAGCTTTGAATTTTACTTCATCTGAAATTCTTCATGCTCTCTCATATTTCAGTTGTTAGAGATGAAAAACAACACAACCATTTCTCAGCAGTTCAAGTGTTTAGAAAACTTTACATTCTAAAAACATACAAACCCAAATTTTATTCTAATCCTTTGAACCAAAACATAAACTAAGACAAACAAAACACACACTAAGAGTGGGCAAATGAGCTAGGTATCTACAGATCCTCTAAGCATAAGAAGGATTTAACAATACCACTAAATTAGCATTTAGCTAATCTGGTCAATTATACCAGTTATTGTTTAAAGATACTTAATAAAATAAGAGAATGACATCTTTTATTGGAGCTTAATAAAGAATTCTTCCTAAAAGAGACAGAAAGAAACAACACAAAGCACATACAAATTACAAGTGAGTCTAAAAATGGTCATGAGATTGCCTAAGTTATAACATTTAGAAATATATAAAGAAACATACAGAAATACTAGGGGGGGTGGGTTGTAACCTTTGGCTTTTATAACTCATTTTTTCAAAATACTATCATGGAAGGCTGTAAACTTAAATATGAGATATCCTTCATAGTTGTGTGTTCTTGCAGCTGAAGCTTTAAGAGAAAACAACACAGGTATCTCAAAACTCATAAAGTCAGACACACTGGAAAACTTAACGAGATATGGAACAGTGAAAAAAAGGCCAAGATACAACAGCAGTATTTTTTAACTTACATTTGAGAGTTTCTCCAGCATAAGGGATGTGTAGCTTAAACCGATCACAGCTGGGTCCAGGGGTCAGGGACGTACAGCTGAAAATGAAGACAAGAGAAGAATGTCCTAAGTAGTTACAGATGGCAGCAAACACTAACATTATTCTACAGGATACAAATGACTGATAGTAAACATGTTGTGACTACTAAAAATCCTCATGAATCTGGGAAAGAAGAAAAGGTGAGAAAGATGCAGGAGGCCTATCCTCTTTTGATCAACAGTTCCCACAACAGCATAAGAAATTTAAGGATCTGTGCCAACTGTCTCCCATTTTATATGAAAACACACATGCAAAATGCTCTGGTTTTGAGTGCGTTATTAGAATGGTAACAATTAGTCAAAGTCATCAAGTCCTCTACTTTGTATACAATTTTGCAGGCCACAACTCTCTATGTCACAGTAACACGGTTACATGCTCCCTATCCCTGCCACTCAGATAACTGGGATGAATTTTAATACACCAACATTTATTCATTTTTTACCTATTATAACATTAAAATTTTCGCTTTTGGAAAGTCTCACAGTAGCCTTCAGGTGAGCAAGTTTCATAACAAGGTATCTGAGGCTATATAACAACTGAGGATGTATGTTCATGATCTGTGATTCTCCAGTTGGAGAAACAGCAGTTGGGCCTCATGGTGATAAGAGAGCATTTTACGAATAGAAAAGTCACTAAAAAACTGTTTAGTGTCTAGGCCAGAGATGACCAACTTTTTCCATACCTTTTAAATCATGTACCAAAATATTTGCATACAAAAAACCCCAAACAAAACCAAAATCTCAGCTGCAAATGGAGAAGCAAAGGGACACGAATTGTTTCACTGGCAGGAACTGTCCCTGAAGCTTTCACCACTGTGGGCTGCTGTGCATGATAGGTCCCAGGAGCAAAAATACTGGAAGTCCTTAGAAGTTCATTGTTTTATGTTTCTAGCGATCCTGATAACTCCGAAATCTTCTTGCCAGCCCAATATAATTGAGAATTTTTTATGGCCCCAGCACAATTGTTGCAAGGCATTTAAAGCTCAAAGCTATACTGGTTGACTCTAGAAAAAACACTGAGTGATAATAAGGTACACAAAGGTAAAATAACTTGCCTAAACTTATATATCAGATCAGTGGTAGAGCTCTTAATAAACACCACTGAAAATATAATGAACAAAACCCACATATACTGGACCATACACACACCCTAAAGCAAAAAGATGGGTAGGCCAGAAAACAAAAGAATTCTCATCCTACCTTTGGATCCTCCCTTATCAGAAACAACACAGTAACTGCTGCAGCTCTGCCTTACCACACAAGAGGCATTGGGGTACATGGAGCAATCCCAGTTCTCACTCACATACTCAAAACGGTTGGGAGAGCCATTTCTCCAAGATGCTGGCTCTACAGTCTCTTTTCCTCTTTCCACTTGAGAGTTCAGGAAACCACATGCACTAACTTCAGATTGTTTTTACTCAGTGAGCTACATTCACTATTTACTCAAAGTTGTGCCCATGTGTAGCTTCACCAAAAAGAAGCAACCACAGAACTACAAAACAATTAACTTAAATGAAGTTTCCATAAAAATAGTAGAAAACATAAGCAAACCACTTATGTGCGCCTAGAATCTAAGACAGATGCAATTAAGAGCCAAATGCAGTCAACAGCCTACACTGATTCAACAACAATGCACGACATTTTTTCAGTATCATTACAGAAATTATATAAGTGTCCCTTCAAATAAAAGGGAAGAGACACATCCTACCTTCACTTTAGAAAGGTTTTTGCAACGTCTTAGGAGAGCACCATACAAAACAAGTTACAGAAACATAATTGAGATATAACTACTATCAGATACTGCAGACTTGAATGGAAAGCAAGTTTCAAAACAGATTAGTTCACATCTTGCTTCATCCAGGAAGAATGCACTGACTTGGTTTTCTTTTGCTGGAATACTACTTTGCATTTTATTGAAAGGTTGATGATGGAAAAGAAACGACGTTTATGAAACCTGTCAATGATGCAAATGTGAAAGGGAATGCGGCATGCCGGACAACAGAGACAGACCTGAAAAATGTTTTTATTTCATGGTCTGTACTGCTTATTTTTAAATTACATCTAGGTAGGGTTTAGCAAGAACAGTAAGCATCACCAGCCTCGCTGGGAGTAAAATCAGTTTGAGAATATAAAAGATTGGATCCCTAGTGCAACAGAAACAAGAGAATATAATTTTTTTCCAAGCTGTGGTATTTTAGTAGGTGAGAACAGCAAAATGGGAGTGCCCATTCTGAAGGTGTTTTAATGTCTGTGAATGAATTTAACAGCTATATAGATACTATTATCTACCTCCAAAGTATTTCTATGGCTTACAACATATGTAAGGCCAATTCTAGGAAGCATACCGAAATCCTCCAAAAAAGCACAACATAAAAAAACCTTTTTCGGGTTCTAAAATATCTCTGCAACAACAGTTAACATTTAATGAAATTTTCTTTCAAAGTATCACAGGTCACAGTCTGAGACACTTTTCTCAAACTACTATCAAAATTACACTGTTGTCAGCTTTTCAACAGACACAAAAATTTCTGATCCTACAAATACCCTACAAATCTTTTCTTTTAGCACAATGGGCCATTTGGAAATATTACAGAAAGTATAATATTCTTTAACATTAAAATAAAAGCCTGATTTAATGGTAAATGTCCCTAAAAGCAACATTAAGTACTTTTCCTATATTATTATATTGCACTAGAGATGTTTTTAATTTTACTGGTCTAGAAGTGATGGAAAGTGACAGTATTCACAGTTCCCTCCCTTAAATTGCTCTGGCTGGGCTGCACAAGAGACTTCAATAAATGCAACAGGCTGAGTAACCAAGCAGGAATCTTATATACATCCATTTGAAAGGAGGCAGCTTCTTTTTAGTATAAACAGTAAAAGAATGAAACTCCTATGGAAAATCAAAACTTTGGTTCATGTAGCAGTCTATGTCTGTCCCTATTTCAACAGAAAGCCACAAGTAATGGCTGGTCTAGGGACATAATCTCCTGCCTGAATTTCCTTAACAGAGAGAACCTCTTATAATTATACACATCTGACCTAGAAACATGACCTCTATCTTCTCCAAAATGTAAGACTTTTGTCTTTTGGAAATGTGATCTTTTTACTTAATCTGGTCCACACAAATGTCACACTTGAAAAGGAATTACTTGTAACGAAGTCTTTAAAGGTTATTTGTTGTCCTGTCTTCACAGGGAACTGACAGAACGGTAATACTTGGTGTTGAAAATTAATTTCAGAAGCTGACTTCATCTCATGATATATGGATGTGTTATCTCCGTCTTTATTAATGGAAAAATATTACACTGGTTTGCATCTCTTCATCTAAATAATCCATATTTTACACAGGAAAGCCACAGAAGCAAGAATTAATGCTCGTGCTCAGAGCAGTGATATGTCTTAGTCTTCATAAGATGATTCATGCTATACCACAAGATCTCCCACAATGGCTTCCCTACTAAAATATCAAAGAATCATCAACTTGACAAGTTTCTGGGATGAAGGAATATTCGTGAGTGTATCGCTTAAAATCACGTTGCCCTACCCAAAGGGGCTGTGCTGAGACTTACAGCTAGAAACTGGTAGATGGAACTGAGTACGCAAGCACCCACAGCTCAATACAAACCTTTCTCTTTTGCAGTAGATTTTAGCTAAGTTCCTTGAGCAAATACAGCAGATTAAACTTCAGTTGAGATATATTACATCCCTATGGAATGAGTATTCCAAGTAGGAGACAAGTTGTTGAGTGTTTGATGCATCTTACAGTTGGGATTGTCTGTGACCTATTGTCTTTCACAATGAATAAAACTAAACCAGTTCTTATACGAAGAAAAAGTCACTGTTAGCACCAGACACTTACTTAGAAGTGTTCGAAATTCCTTACCACTCACAAAAGGAAACAAAAAAGATTATCCAAGAAAAAAAAATAAATCAGAAAAGTCACTAAGTTTTCCTGCTTGGAATAAAGCATCAGCCTATAATGATAGGTATAGTAGAAAGTATTTTTTTTGCAAAATTAATTCTGTCTGATTTAGAAATGCAGTTCTACCTGAGTTTAACAGCGAGGTTTTCTCTTATCCCAATGTATTTGCGATTAACTATTTTTTTGAACTGACACTTCTTCTGTTTCATTTAAGCTAAAAAAACAAAGCCACTTTGATATTTTACAGGTCTGAAGCCACGATGATAAGGAGGACTCTGATAATCTTAGATTTCAACATGGTCTTCCTATCAGCTAGTCTTCTAAAACCATCACTTGAAAGCATTCCCAAGACAAGCAGTTTTAAATCATTTGGGCTCTGGTAAGATCTTATCCAAAATTATGTTCTGTGCCAACTAAAGGAGTCACAAAGAAACAAGAGCACAAGTGTTTACCACCTCAATCCTTAAAGTCAGGAGATGAGTGGTTATTCTACCCAAAGACTTTAAAAAAACCAAACAAACTCATCAACACCCCTCTCCAAATCTACCTCTTTATATCCCAAAATTCCAGTAAGAAGCTTGTTTTTTATACAGCTCCTAAAATCCACTGCTTACAACCATATAAAAGTATAGCAAATACCCAGAAATGCCATCAGAGGTAGCTCTATTGAAAAACGAGCCATCTCCTTTTTACTTTTTCTTATTTTAATCTGTGATATAGGTGTAAGCCCCAATAGTCATGTCAGATTTATCTGATGACTATCAAATTCCCTGATTATAAAGTATGCAATGTGTTTAGTCATTCTTCCTTCATAGATCATAGAGAAGCTTTACTGCCTTCACTATCTGAAGACAAATCATCAGTGAACTTTACTGTACAACAGCAAAGTAAAATTAGACTAAGAAATTTAGCCTCTATAATTTCAGGAACTTAATACTGAGACTGTCTAACCAGAATAGTCAGAGATGCAAAAGCTTCTTTAATCTCATGGTGCTCAGGCTGCTATGCTTGCCATTCTGGAGGATCAGTACTTTTTTGGATAACAGACAATTTTTATTTGCTCGCCAGGCTGTT